GATCAGTCTGACGAAAGACAGGGAGCGAATGGGAACATTAATCCGTAATTTGCTGGCTGTGAAGTCGGGCGACTAAGTAATAATTTTTAATAGGAATCCAATGCCATAAATGGTCAATAGTTGCCACTCAGTTTTTGCTGCCTCTGGCTGTGGTATTATTTTTTTGTCAGTTTTTTTTTGTCGCTGAAGCTTTTGGCCTGATCCCTGACAAAAGATGGGAACTGATTTTGGCTTTGATGGAATTCCAAAATCGATTCGAATATTCGCGGCACGTGCACCGCCGATCCGATGGAAACGGTGTGGAGTTTCCACTTTGGCACTTTGGCAGACCTGGGGCAGTTGAAGTTTTCTCCTCGATTCGTTCTGTAATTTATGAACTTTAATTGTTGGCTTTTATAGAAATGGATTGGTTATAGCCACTATTCATAGCATTAACAGTTAAAGCAAAGACACTGGCGACACTTTTAATTGATTTTCTACCCTTTTGATTTAATTTATGAACTGTTTGCCATATTCGGCTACCCGCTGGCCGGTTAAACATTTAATCAATGTTCGAGTATCTCAAATCTGCACTTGCCAGTCGGTTATAAATATTTATGAGTCAGCCCATCGGTTGAGGTCCGGCCAAAGCTAATGACAAAGTGATAAGGACAATTAAGGAGAAAGCAGCTGCCGATGAGGCCGAAGTGGTAGGAATACAGAGACGAGTTGCTTCCTCCAGTTTCCACATCGGCGAATGAAATGTGTCACCAGAGTGAGGTCTATAGAGATGGTACTATGAGAAGAGATATCAAATTTATTGTCAATTACCAAAAAATAAGGAAATAAATATTTTATTTTACTTTTTATTATATTTTTTTACTAAAAAATCTATCCCATTTTCGTGTCACTCTGTCATAACCAACTAGCATCCACTACCTCAACGATCAACTTGTAAACACGGCCAACAAACTGCTGGCTGTAAAATATTGCTGCATTTTTGATCACTTGTCATCCCTGCCGATGATGAACGATCAGAACACAAGACGACTGGGCCACTCCGGTGCCTCCTGCCGCCCTTTTCCGATTCCCGTCCAGAATTCCGCAGAACCTGTTGACAACACTTGTGCGACAAGCGAAACGATCTCGCTTTTTGTCCCAGCATCTCTCCGATATTTATTATGTTTCCTATAGGTACTCTGCAGTCTCGTCTGCTGGATGGTTTTGCTAAAAAAAAGTGCTGGCCGAGGTGTCGATATCGCACAATGATTTTAATGATGGGATCGGAAAGCGAACCAAACTCAACAGCAGCGCAAAAAATATGAAAAAAACGGTCAGCAGCCTGTTGCAGCAAATCGCTGAGATGCCAATGCTGATAATCAATAATTTTTATATTTTTGCCACATCGCCGGTCGGCTTTGCAATCCAACTCAAAGGAGGCTTCAGAAAGGACCATCATCCCAGCCGAAAGGACATGACAATAATCCTTAATTACAGCCCCAGTCGAGCCACCGCCACAGCCACGAAATTCGTCTCATAATTGGAGTTCAATGAGTTGTGATGGAATTATGGGATTTCACATTTCGATGGGGGAGTTTTTAAATATCTAAACAAATGGTTTGGAGGGGAATCTAATAAGAAAGAAATAAAATGTTTCATTAGAAGGTAAAATAAAGCCATATGTAAGTATATAAGAGGTAGACATAGAGGTACATATATCCCTAGAATCTATCAATCAACTTTATAAGTATTTCTTTCATTTGATTCTGTTAAAGTTCCCCTTTGATTTATCGTTTTAGTATTCCGCTGGCAAAACAAATTGACAACCAAACTGAGTTTTCCTTTTACTGAGTTTGTGGTGGCAGGACCTTGATGTTTCGATAGTGTCGCTTTTCCAATTCTCCCGTGACTGCGGTAGAAGTTACCTAAACCCTTGACTAGCAATCCGCATATTCTTTTAATAATGCACGATACATTTTTGCGCCGAAAAGTGCCAACAATTCCATCAAAGTTCAACCCTTTTGGATGCGGAATTTTCCTGTCACGTCACCAGTACATCTCCTCCTCCTCCTCCTCCTACTTGGATGTGAAAACACCAAAATCGCATTCAGTGTCTGGATTTTGGGAAATTGGGAAATTTCTCCTTATAATGGTGATTGCGAAACCGCTTACGACCTGCCATGAAAACATTTCACCGAATGGAAGCCAGGGAATCAATGCTGGCAATTAAAATCCTTACCCGAAACAGTCCTTGGAAGGACAATCCTGGATGAGCAATAAAAATGTTTGCTTGCCCAATTCGCAAAAGAGACCCCCAGGAAATGGTAGTTGCGAAATTGGATTTCTGACCCTTTGGCCAGCCATGTGTGAAGGTCCTTTGGCCATTTCTATTTGCATCTAATACATAAACATAATGCGTTAATTTCAAAGGAACTTCCCGGCAAGAAAGTGAAAAGCCACAAAAAAATTTCTACAAAAAATATGCAAACAAACAAAATAATATTTCCTTTTTTTTTCGGTCGGTAATCAAATTTGTGGTGTTTTTTTTTTACATCTTACTGAATTGCTTGGCAGGATATTCCCAGAGGATTTTTGGTTGGGGGGGTGGTGACCGCAGGATAGGACCGGACAGGACAGGATATGAGCGATACAAATAAACAAATGATGTAAATTTCATTTTCCAGGACTTTGCATTGCTCAAATATGAAAATATGAGAAACCTTTGCCATCGCCCATCCCTTAAATAAATTACATAAAATTTATTTTGCAGTCGAAGGCGTTTTTGCAAAAGACTCGAACTATTTTAGGGAAAGTTTTGGGGTTTTTTCCAGAACTCTGATGAATTCCATGTCCATTTGATGGCCTCCCCCTTTTCTTTGAGAAAAATTAGATTCATCAAAGTTCAGAAGATTTGCATTTATTTCACATTTGTCACAGGGACCAGCTGCTGGCAAAAGGGTCTTAAATGTCAGTTCCATCATCGACATTAAAAACCACTTTTCGATGGCATTAGGAAAATGCGGAAAATACGGAAAATCCTCAAACTGATTGGCATTAGCCAAATGGCCATGAACACGGCAACATTCTTGTGGAATAAAAAGTGTCAAATATTACCGAGATTCACGCACAAAATGTCAATTTCAATTCCAGACTTCAGCTTGTTTATTTCAACGGAAATGAAATGAATGATTTGGTTTTAATTCTGATGGAAAGTAAGTGGTGCAGGTTGAGTGGATGGGAGGGCCTTTTTAGATTGTCTTTTTCTTTGGCTGCCATAAAATATTTGAAATTAGCATATTAATAGCTTCGATAGCGTTAGTTATTCGACTTGAAAATCAGGATATCACTCTCATACACACACACATCCTGCCGCAGAGGACACTCGCGGGTGCCATAAAAAATTCACGCAACAGCAATTCTGTGCAACTCCAAAGCCCAGGGATTAAAATTATGCAAACGCATTATATGGTAGCTTGCATTCGCTGGGAATGAGATCCTGGCTGTGTCCTGGGAGCCATGTGCCGTAAACACTCAATATTTGCTGCCGCAGGAAACGATTGTCTCTGAAAGTAAATTGCCTAAACGATTTTTATGCAAATGTGGAGTAGAACCAAGCACTTGAAAGAAATCTGTTGAGATAAAGCTTGAGATTGGGGGCCTATAGCCTATTAAATGTTTGCATCATGGCACTTGTACTTACAAAGTTCAATATTCAGATCTATAAATCAAGTTCTTGTTAGGTTTTGATAAAGAAATCCAATTAATTGCTTTCAGATACTTATAAGCAAACAAAAAACAGATGCAAGCCCTCAGTTCCCTTTAGCTGCCCTTCCTCAGATTTCCTCAGTAAAAGGATATGTGATTTTAGAGTTCAGATTATTGGTTAGAGGGCAGGACAATTACCAAAAGCAAGTATGGGCTTTGTCTATCTTCCTGCCTATTCAAGTGTCCATTTTTAATTAACACTCTCTGACAATTTGACGCGAAATGCATTTGCAGTTAGTGTATCTCTGTATCTGCATCTGTATCTGTGCATTTGTATCTATGCGATGGCAAGCAAACCGAGTGTGTGAGACTGAAAGGCCTAATGCCATTGTGGCGGATTGCATGCCGATGAGCTACTGGCTTCTCTGGTGGGGAGCTGAGAGCTCTGCGTTGAATGTTTAGAATGCAATTGACGTGTCAGAGGGCAAATCCACTGGAGAGAAGTGGAGGCAACAAAGGATATGGGCATATCAGACAATGGCCGGGTCGGGCCGGGGCCGGGCTGGTTCTGTGGCACGGGGCATGCCTGATAAATGTTGCATGCGCCTGTGTAACCCAATTACCGTTCTGCAAATTACTCACTCCTCCGCTGAAAGGATTGCAAAGTGGTGGGGGCTCGGACATATTCCTAGACTCGCTTTGCATAATTGATGACAAATTGAAATCATGTTTATGGCATATGAAGAGGCTGGGACATTTCATAAAATATTTTACATAGATTCTCATGCCGACAGTCTTCGGCTGCGGCTCTCTCTTCACTTTTTCTCTTTTAGGCCATAAATTCATCTCCAACTCCGGCTTCTGGCCAAATCAAATGGCCAATGGATCAATTTGCGGTTGATGGAGCTTAGCCGCTCGAGTCTCCCTCTCGGGGCTCGTAAATCGCAATGAGTTGGGGCCATAAATTTTCAATTGGCCAGTGAGGGAGCAAAGGATAAGGGATCAGCTAGAGGTTGGCTAACATTTAAATGACATTATACCAAAAAAAAACCAGTTGGTTTTTTAAGCTTTAGACCAGTGATCGGCATTCAATACATTAAAAACTGGGCGGAAATGCTGTTTGTGTGGCATAAACTCCAATTTAAGAGGTACTGGGTTTAAGTTTCTTTCAAAAAGCTTGCAATACATAACCTAGAACAATCAGCTGACTTAAAATGGCTACCAAAATGCCAGGGATGGCAAAATGAAAATTCTTACGCCCCTGAAATAGAGCCCAGCCGACTTCAGACTTTTCGTAGGTCACTTTTATTTTTAAGTCAAAATTTTAATCAAAATTAAAAGTAAATTCCAGCCGTAATCCCGACTACACAGCCGGCCGGAGAATGTCGATAAACGTGGAACGTCATACGGCTATATCGCCTTTGGAGCTCATGAAGACTCTGACCCTGTCCAACGACGAGGAACTCGATCAGAACATTCGAAACTGGGTTCTCTGGGACAGAAACGAGGCGACTCTGGCCCAGGTGCTGACTGCGGTACACGATCAAGATTGGGATGCGCTGCGGATTCGACTGTGCCACCGACTACCCTTTGGCACCACCGGGATCAGGGGCGGAATGCGGGCTGGATTTGATTCCGTCAACGATGTGGTCATCATTCAGGCCGCCCAGGGGATCTGCGCCTATCTGGTGGACATCTATCCGAGTCTCCAGAAGCGCTCCCAGTCGGGCGTGGTCATTGGATACGACGGGCGGTACAATAGCAAGCGATTCTCCCAGCTGATGGCCGCCGTTTTCCTCAACAACGACTTCAGGGTCTACCTGTTCCGCCGCATGGTACCGACGCCCTTTATTCCCTACACCGTCGTGGCTCTTAACTGCCTGGCGGGCTTGGTGATCACAGCCTCGCACAACCCCAAGGAGGACAACGGCCTCAAGGTGTTTTGGACGAACGGAGCTCAGGTGACGTCGCCCCACGACAAACGGATCCACGAGTACATACTCAACAATCTGGAGCCGAAGCCCTCGTCTTGGGAGCTTTCCGCACTGGATGACCACCCCCTGCTGGAGGATCCGTACCGCAGGGTGTACCCACTGTTCTTTGGATCGCTGAAGAAGCTCCTGCCACCGGTTTATCTGGAGAACAACGAGTGCAGTCAACTGAGGTTTGTCTACACACCGCTGCATGGTGTTGCTTTTCCCTTCATGAGGGAGGCCTTCTACCAGGCAAGGCTGAAGCCTCTGATCGCAGTTCCCGAGCAGAAAGATCCCGATCCAGAGTTTCCAACTCTTGTCCGGCCGAATCCGGAAGACGGCAAGGAGGCCCTCCGCCTGGCCATTGTGAAGGCCGAGGCGGAGCACTGCACCATTGTCCTGGCCAACGATCCTGATGGCGATCGTCTGGCTGTCGCAGAGCTGGATCCCCGTGGGCGCTGGAAAATCTTCACTGGCAACGAACTGGCTGCCCTTCTGGGATGGTGGGCACTGGAGAGCTACAAGGTCCGGACGCCCAAGCCGGCTGTGAGCAACTGCATCATGATTGCCACGATGATCAGCTCCAAGATCCTGGCGGCCATGGCGCGAGTAGAGGGCTTCATCTTTGTGGAGGGCATGGTGGGCTTTCCCTGGATGGCGAATCGAGCCCTGGAGCTCCAGAATTCCGGCCGGACAGTGCTCTTTGTGTTCGAGGACTGCTTCGGCTACATGTTCGGAATGACCCTGCCGGATAAGGACGGCATTGCCGCAGCCACACAACTGGCCACCATGGCCTGTTACCTGCGCAGCAACCGGAACATAACCTTGATCGAGAAACTCCGGGAAATCTACGACGCCTATGGATACCACGAAATGATCTCGGTCACCTACAGTGGTGATGAAGCGGACACGATCTCTGCCCTGTATACGCGCTTGAGGAACTTTGATGGGGAGGGCAACTATCCCAAGTGCATATTGGACGACGAGTTCGCGGTGGTTCATGTCCGTGACTTGACCACCGGTCTAGATACATCTTTTTCGGATAAAAAGGCCCGATTGCCCGTCAATCCTGAGTCCAATGTCATCACCTTTACCTTCACCCATGGCTATGTCGTCAGTCTGCGTAGCGCGCCCAATGATTTCCGGATAAAATTGAATGCGGAAATCGCCGGCCTGCCGGAGGAGAAGGAGTGGGACGAGCTGCACGACAAGCTCAATAGGATGACCAATGCGGTGATCGAGGAATTTCTCAGTCCAGAGCAGAACGGTCTCTCCCAGGCGCCCTACGCCAATTACTCGTAGTTTTTGCCAAACTGGAATAGTGATTTTTGAACCAAATAAGTATGCTATAGCTTCTGAAACAAGTACCGGATATGAGTGCCTTCTGAAACAAGCCTTGTGGTGGCTTCTATTAAAGTGATGTGAAAATTTCTCAAGGCTTTTGTTGGGGGAATCATGAAAAGGCCGCAGAACGCCAATTAAGCGAACACAGAAATTGCCCTTCATATGTGGTCCTGCCAGCAAGGAGGTGGTAGTGGGTGGTTGGGTTGCTTCAAAGGCCATCAGCCTTTTGTTTTCTCTCACCAGCAGCAGTATCTGTATCTCTAACTGAGCGAAAGTATCTGCCAAGACAAACACTGAAATTTTATAGTTTGCCTGCTAATTGCACTCTGGGGGTGCTTTCACCTCCCCATTTCTCTCATCCCCCAGTCCCGCAGACGCTTCTCCACCCCCATGATTGTGTGGTAATCGTTTCCGATTGTGCGAATCAGCAAAAGTCGGCTCACATAATGGGAACTGTGATTAAGACGTGGCTATGAAATGAGTGAGGAAAGTTTGTTACGTTTTAAAGCCCCTTTTCTTTTCAGTGTAATGCCCATATTTATATTGTTAAATTTTCTTTTCGGCTACATCATCACATATTTGTTTAACAGGACAAACGGAATATTTCAATAGCCTGAAAACGAGAGTGCTCAGGTAAACACGGCGAATGATCCCTGAACTCCTTGTCAAGTCAAATTCCATTCAAGACAAAAGTCCTGCTCTCACACCATCCTAAATATGTCATAGGGATATCCAAGGACATGAAGCTCCTTGCTCGCTCACACAACCATTAAATTTTCCCTAAAATACCGACTCGAAAAGGGATCCAAACGCACACGCATTAAATATTAATTCCTTTCGACAACCAGCATTCCGCGAGGGCTTACTTTTTTTTTTTATTTTGGGTTTCAAGTATTTTATTTTTGGGTGGGTTCTGCCACGTTTTACACGGTTAGTGGCGATGCGCCAAGGTTAGTGCATTATTAAGCACTGTTTATGCGACATTAGGAACATAAAAGGCGACCCAAAGTCGATGTAAATAAGACACGGGCCCCTGGCAAATCAACAAAATAAAACGAATGTCCCACATGTGGGCGTGGGTCGGTTTGTTTTCGGTATTGGCGGGGGTCTTTATCTTCCTGGAAGGTGGTTTGGAACAAGGACATTTGGATACGGCCATCAACCTAACTAAGAGCCCTTTTTCGGGAGAATATTGGGTGTGAGATGGTTTTTGCTTAGATATTAATCGAAAGGAGTTTAAAGCTCGACTTGATGGTAGATGGCTTTTGAAACAGAAACCATAAATTTTAAGAGGACTAAGAGGCTAAGAAGAGTCCTTTCAGGGCTCCTTTTTTGTGACTGTTTTCTCTCCCCTCCTCCCCTAACTTAAAACTGCAACTTTATTTTTGGTTCAATGTTTATTTTAAATTGAAGATTTTAAGATTTTATAAATACATACTATTATTATTCAATTATTTCTAAAAGTAAAAAGAAAAATAATCTTTAACATCTTTATCCGAGGAACTGCGGTACATCTGCCAGGCTTCTTTTATTTGGTGATCGTTGGCTTTTGGAAAAAGCTTTTTGAAAAAGACACAATTTTATTTATTGGATCTTTTGAGACAGATCGAAGGCTATTAAAGGCTATATTGGGAGTACCATCATTTTTAAATGTTTAAATTTAATGTTTCATATTTTACTAAGAAATAATTGGAATCCTTTCCCTTAATTTATACACCACAACTTACAAATTCAATTTTAATCCATTTGGTTTGTCCAATAATCCTGAGATTAGAGCCGCTTCTATGTAAACCAATTGAATTCTGAACAGTCGGGCCTTGTTGCACATATGTTGAGGATATTCTGTTACACCAGGCCCACGGGCAACGTAATGAGAACCTTGCAACCACCCTCAGATCCCACAAATAGGAACAAAAAAATATATATGATTTCGTCGGGGTGCCAGTGGCATTACTGGAGGACAATGGCATCTTAAATTCGCATTCGAAATGAGGAAGCTGGTAAATTGATTACGTGCCACTTGCTCACATCATCAATTTCAGTCCATATGCGCGAAAATCCTTTAACTAACGACGCGTCCTGGCCCAGGACTCGCAGCCCACATAATTGTTAGTTGACACTCGAAATTTCTGGTGTCGAACATCGTTAATTAAAGAGCATTTGTTGACTTCCGCTGCGGTGACCGTTTATTTCCTGTTTGTATTCTTTCCTCCTTACGCCCGATTTCCTCAAATTTTAAAAAGGGGGTGGCAGTGGGTGGTGGCTTGGGGTGATTATAACCACAGGGTTTAACGTAATTTTAGAAATGTGATAAGTAGTATTTTAGAGGGTTAAGATGAGGTGAGTAAATGGTATACCAATTTTCTGGATTATGGTTTATAATTTATGAAAATTTTTTGGAAGGCCCAAGATCCAGCCCAGTTAAGGTTCGATGTCCTTCTAGGATACTGATTATAGCTTTACAATTTTTCGCCATTTTATTATTTTTTTCAACTCTTCTTGCACCAAAAATATAAAAACAGACTATAAATACTAATTCAATCAATTATTCATCGAATTCTCGGCAGCTGCAAGGACACTCCTCTCACTTGCCCTCGCCACCTTCCCCCCCGCCCGTCTCATCTCTTTCTAGCAATTTGTTTTTACTTTTTTTTCGTCCTTTTATTGTTTTCGTTTTTGTCGCATAAAAATGACAACAAATTAGTTTGACTGCCGTCGGTGGTTTCCCGCTGAGTTTTTCACAGTTTTGTTCGATATCCGTTTGTTTGTATTTATTTGTGTGTCTTCCCTGACTTTGTGTCCTTGAGTGCTGGCCAATAAATTATGTGAAGGATGCTGTCACAGTGCAACCCCTCCTCACTCCCCCTGTTGTTTGTTGTTTTTCGCGAGGGATAGATTCAGGGGTTCCTGGGCAACGACACCGATCCGCTGCTCGTCAGACGTGTTTTTGATTAGCATTATTAAATATGCAAACAATGAAAATTCCGCTTTTTTTATTTTTGTTTTTGTGCACAAAAGTGGAAAATTCGTCCAGAGCTTAATTGCCGTAACATTTATATTAAATGAACACGGATGTCAAATTTTTGTTTGTAAATAAAATTTGGAAAAAATCCTAAAATTTAATATGCATTGCTTACGGTATTTTCGTATATATCCTGGCAGACACAACCCTCCAGGTTTCACGGACCAAACAAATTGTTTGTAATGCATTTTAATTTAATGTATTCCTAGTCTTGAAAAGCTGCCGCAATAAATAACGATTTTTTTTCGGTACGATTTGATGTGAAAAGGTAGTCATAATTTGTAGCCCAGGATCTTTGGTTGGTTGTTAAGGTGCGACTGAAAATTTACATGTTTATTTCCGATTTCTGCAGCTGTGTGAATTTTTAATATTTATTCTGTTTATTTTTGAAACTGATTTTGGTTTACGAGGCATCCTATTCCTTTGTGGTCAGTTGGCTTTCTCTTTTGGCTCAGTTGTCTTAGATTTGGTGTAACAGAAACCTGCCAGGACACCAATAAGAAGCCAGGTCGACTGGTAAGCGCTTTCCACATGCCAAAGAGAGCAGGCGAAGAGAGGAAGCTTAAGAGAGCGCGAACTGCTTTATCGACGGGGCTTAGGAAGAACTGCTTAGTTAAATATTTTAAATAATACCTACATTAAAATAAATAATAAAATATTAAAAAACGCTATAGTTCTACATGTATATATTTATACTTTAAAATAATTTTTTAAATATGTTTTACATTTTATATAAATTGATCTAATTTAAATTTTATTCTAAAATATTTAATCATTTTTAGCATTAGTGTTTCCTATTTTAGTAAATTATTGCAACTTTAAATCCCATTAGAAAAATAATCAATCTTCAGCAACATGTTGCCAATAGCATTTTGCAGAAAAGCCCTGAACTTGAAATATTTGTTTATATATCGCATTATGTTGTTGTTGTTGTACTTGAATTGTCATCAATTTCCATGAGTTACTTTTCCCAAATGTGGGTGGAAAATGCCAGAGAGAGGGGCGAAGGTTGCATGGGAAGGCAAAACTGGTTAATGCCCCAAGGGAAGGCCAACGGAAATTTACGTCTGCATATGGAGATGCTATTGCTCTTATCCCTGCTGTTCTTGTTGTTGTTTCTATTATTTTGGTTAAAAATTTCACCCTTTCGCCAGGGGTCTATAGTATCACCTCCCACCGCTCCAACCCCCCTGCAGTGCCGAAAAGAGTAACAAATAACGAAAATGTCAGAGAAAAGTGCACATATTGCATGAAAAAAGGTTCATTAGCAACATCAATTAAAGTTAAGGGGCCTCGAAAAAGGTTTCAAAGTTAAACTTAGTTTCAGAGTTAATAATTATATTTAAAAGGATATTCTATAGGCAGGTAAGGGTTATACAGGAAAGTACTATTAATTAAAATAATACCATTTCTATATCATTCTGTCTGTCTCCCAAAAGGCTTCTATTTCCTATTCCTCAAGCCTTACCCGAAATGTAATCTTAATACCATTCCATAGTTTCTTAAACTTCAACCTACCAGTATCAGTACCATTTCATTTTTAATCGATTCAACTCTTTCATGTCCATCCTTTCAGTATTCCATCGTTTGTTTGTTCTCAGTTTTTCCATCAATTATTCCCGGCAATTCCGTCAATCTCCCCGGGAAAGAGGACATCTCTCCGGTAGCTTTTTCAGCTGCCTGGGCATTGTTTAACAATTAACGGAACAAGTTGTTTAACTTTACCTAAACGATTTAAGTCAACAGTGAACAGAGGCAGTGCCTCTGCCGACCACCTCCACCTGCCTTTTGGCCTTATCCTTCGTGACGGACTGTCCTTGTCAGTTGGCCGAAGGGAGGGAGATGCCAGGACCAGAGAGTGCTGGCAGTGCTTCCGCTTCCGATGACTGCACAAATCGCTGGACTCTGGATGATTTTTTTGCGACTCCTTTTTGCCATTTGCCTTTCTTTTTTTGGGCCTTTACTCCTGCTCCTGCTGAAATGACAGAAAAATGTCAGGATACCTCCCGTTTTGTTTGGATCTCGTTTGCCGGCACTCACCTGGCCAAGGATTTTGTTGGTTTTT